ACTGACTGGACTGAATTTTTGTTTTCAATATCACACATGACCACACTGAAGGGTTGTTCATGTTACAGAAGAAAACTCGTGATGCTAAGTTTTATGAGTAGGGTAAATACTAGAACTTCTGGATTCACCACCTATACAAACATTTACTAGTTATTTTGGTAAGTTTTTGTCAACACTCAAAATTACAGATGGTGAACTGGAGTTGGTAGCATAGGCCTGTAAGCCCAGCCACCTAAAAGGCTGAGAGAGAAATCACAGATTCAAGGCCAGCCTAGGTTATAGGCTGAGTTCAACTAAATAAGAACTTGTCTCAAAGAATAAAATATTGTCTGGGCCCAAAGTCCTAGCATGGACAAGCTTCAATCTTTAATGCAGAGAGAGAAGGGGGGATAATGAGAGAATATTGCAGACTATTAAATCTTACAGACTTTTTAAGGTTAAGACACTTTTGAGTAGAATTTTAAGTAATCTCAAATTTCTGTATTTTAATATTTTTACCAATATTTCCTAGATAAGGACAAAGGCTTCATTTTTTCCCCAGAAAAAAACTCTTGTATAAATAGCCCACATATAAGTGAGGTTCCACATTCAGTAAAGGCAATATAATGTTTTACATAAATTCTGGTTTTAAACTTATGTTTGCCTAATTCACTGAAGAAAAAAAATCATCTTGGACAGCATTTTTTTTCTACAAAAAGGAAAACATGATTCGTGTTTCCCCAAGTGTTTTATGAGAATAAACTAGGTTTTAATTCTCCTAAGTTTTGTGGTCCTCTGTTTTAAATACTGGCAGAGGCTTTTTGCAAATTGTCTATATAAAGTAGAGAGGAAGCTAAAGCCCTGTTTATGCTATCTTTACTGGGATTTGTAGTATTTATTTTTATTTTTTATTTAGAAACAATTTTATTTTACATATCAATCCCAGTTCCCTTTCCCTCCCATCCTCCCATGCTCGCCCCCATCCACTCCCCAGAGAGGGTGAGGCCTTCCACAGGGGATTGTCAAACTCTGTGTATCTACACTGAGGGAGTAGCCTTTCATGGGGGATTTGTAGTATTTTTGACCCCTAGTACATAAAAGATTCTAATCCAGGCTTAATGGTGCATGTCTTTAATCCCAGCACTCGGGAGGCAAAGGCAGGTGAATCTCACTGAGTTGGAGACAAGCCTGGTCTACAAAGTGAGTTCCAGGACAGCCAGAGGTGTTCCACAGAGAAACCCTGTCTTGAAAAACAACAACAAATCTAGAGAGTGGCATGTGGCTTCCAGACTAATCCAGTAACCTTCAGTCTCCTGTCTGGATTTGGATCCTTAGACTAAATCTCCCCTAAAGTACATTAGACTCTGGTTCTAAGTTGTCTAAAAGATACAACATTGCTTAAATGTTAGCTAACCCATTTTACCAATAATACGAAGGCAACCATTGTGAGCTAACTCAGATATTAACTGAAGGAAAGTTCTTACATTTGTAATGTCATGGCCCCTTCTCGACATATAGTCATTTGTTTTCTCCTTTAAGAAGGATGCACTTGAGGGACTTGAAAGCCATGCATGGTTCTTTGCTCTTAATATTAGATGATCATAGATTCAAGAAAAGATTTTGATTTTTTTTATGTTTTCCATGTGGTAGAATCAGAAGTATACAGCAAACAAAGCCCCTTTAGGAAACACTCTGAAAACATGTCTTACTTGTTAAAGAGGAAGTTTTGGCTTAACTAAATTAATCTTATAGATTGGCACATTTTTCAGTTTGTCATAAATTTGCTAGGTGAAGTTTTGAAAATAACTCATGATATGTTACATAACTCTGAAGGTCTTAAAGCTTTTTACAGACTGTCTAATATGCTTTTTAAGATGGGGAGAGGAATGTTGTGAAAATGGAATAGCTAATTCATCTTAGTTTGGCAGAGCTAGAAGTGCAATGGCATTCCTTCTAGTGAAGTTTTCCCAACATCCCTTGGAACCTACCGCTTGGATTCGCTGCAGTTATGTACAGATACATAGAACATTTTCCTACAACCTTGTTTTCCACTTACAATTCCACAGCCATGTAACTGTCTTTTATCCATTCCTTCTCCACCCACCCATCTAGTAGATATGCTTTGTAATGTGTGTCCCTGCAGCATCTGTAGACTATGTTTTATTAGAACTGGACAAATTTACTGTGATGGTAAAATGTTCCACCTTTCCAAGAATTCAAGCACACTAACAACCTTGGTATGTTTTTCCATTCCCCTATTGGCAAATTTGTCAGGCAGAGTTAAGCCCCACCTCCTTAAAGAATACGCCTAACTCACAGAGGATGGGCCCCACATTTTGCTTATACTTACATGCATTCTCTATTCTATGTCAAAACTACAAAGTGACTATGTTGTATTTGCATTTATTTATTGGGGTGCTTCTAGAGCGCTGGCATTTGCATTTGGTAGATTTTGGATCACCTTAATACCTGCCATGATATTTTAAATATACCAGAAGTTTTCAAGAAGTGCAGAGTTATGAAGCTTTTGTTATGTCCCAGTAGCTAGTTGCTCTTTGGTCTTTCAATGACTTGAATGTGACAGTATCAAGAACTTTGAACAAGTCTGAACTTACTGGATAACCTAGGAATATTTACTCATAAGTATCCACTCTGTCATGGAAAAGCTTTAAAATCATATGAAAGTATTATTTTACATAAAGCCACACCATTGCTCATTTTTCTCAACCTTCCTAATGCTTCATCCCTTTAATACAGTTCCTCATGTTGTGGTGTCCCCCAACCATAAAATTATTTTTGTTGCTACATCATAACTGTAATTTTGCTACTGTTATGAACTGTAATATAAATAGCTGATACTGTGACCCCTGTGGGGATTGCAAGAATCAATGAGGTATCCTCATTTTACATAAGAGGAAGCTAAATTAAACCAGTTAAAGAAATTTACTGAAACTCATATTCCATTAACTTAACCAAAACAAAAATTTAATACCCAGGTTGGTTCAAAACTCTGTTATGGTATATTGTCAATAACCAAGAACTTGAATCTAAACCCAAGTAGTGTGAACCCCAAAGTCTACAAGATTTTTTTCTCACCTGTCTCCTGATATAAGAAGGGCTCTATTTAATTAAAAAAAGAATCAATTATACGTTTCTATTGCTGCAGCAAAACAACATGACCAAAAAGCAAGTTGGGGAGGAAAAGGTTTATTTGGCTTACACTTCAGTATTGTTGTTCATCACTGAAGGAAGTCAGGACAGGATCTCAAACAGGGCAGGGACCTGGAGGCAGGAACTGATGCAAAGGCCATGGAGGGGTGCTTCTTACTGACTTGCTTTCCATGGCTTGCTTGGCCTACCTTCTTATAGAACTCAGGACCACCAGCCCAGGGATAGCACCACTCACTATCTGCCCCCCACCAAGGATCACTAAATGAGCAATGCTTTGCAGCTGGATCTCAAGGAGGCATTTCCTCAGCTGAGGCTCCTTCCACTGATGACTCTAGCTTGTGTCAAGACACACAAAACCATCCGATATGCCAGGTGAGACAGTCATACAGTTAAAAATTCAAAGGACAGACACAGGTGGTGGTGACACATGCTTTTAATCCCAGCATTTGGGAGGCACAGGCAAAAGGATCTCTGTGAGTTTGAAGCCAGCCTGCCTACAAAGAGAGTTCCCGGACTGCCAGTTACACAGAGAAACTGTTTCTAAAACCCCCAAATCCAGAAAAAAATTCAAAGGATATAAGGGCATGTGTGGCACACACCTGTAACCCCAATATATGGGAGGCTCAGGCAGGAAAATCACAAGTTAATGGCCAATTTGAGCTTCATAAAAAAAAAAAAAAAAAAAACAAACACAAAACACCTTTCTCAACATAATGACAAAAATTTCAATAGGGGCAAAACATGAAAAATTTCATTGTATTTTTTCTTTCTGTTCTTGTCCTTCAACCATTGAGTTCTGTTAATTGGAGACATTCACTGTCATATGTTCTCACAGAAATATTTCATGCATATGCAGGCATATACACATTCCACCATTAACACAAATGTAAGTGTACTATATAGTATTCTGAAACTTGTTATTTCACTAGGTATGTTTTCAAGATTGTAATAATCCAGAGGGCTTTACCTCCTTTTCATCATACATAGATTTCATGGAATGCATTTAGATATTTAAGATTCCCCCCCCCAAGCCAGTTTTCTGCTATAGAAAGCACTGAACAGTAATACGCATAGATGGATGAGTATTTATTGTATTGAGGATAGTATTGGTAGATGTGTTGAATTATTGTTTTAAAGGAAATATGCATTTATATTTCAATAGTGATATAAAGTTGCCCTTAGCAGAGGTTGTAACAATGTATCTACCTACCAGCAGAGTGCGGGTTTCACAAGAATGTCAAAACAAAACAAAACAAAACAAAAAACACCACGTATTGTCGTTTTTAAACCCATTCCTATATAGTAAGTAAAGAAAGTGGCACTTACAAAAAATAATAATTTTTATTTTTAAAAGTTTTATATTTACATAAAAGCTTCATACTCTTCTGTTCCATACATTTCCATTCAGTTTCAGTTAGTGTTAAGATCTTAAGAATACAGGATATTTGTCACATCTAATGAAACTTATTAAATAAAAAACATAGTTTATTTATGTTTGCCTAGTGTCATCTTTCTGTTTTAGAATCCTACAATACACTTAAAGATCATTTTTCTCTTGTTTCCTCATAAATGTGACAGAGTCTCAGAATTTTCGTTTGTTTATGGCCTTGATAGTTTGGAGGAGTTCAGATGGTCACTGCACTTTGTTTTATATTTTGTTTTTTGTTTTTTTTTTGTTTTTGTTTTTTCGAGACAGAGTTTCTCTGTGTAGCTTTGGAGCCTATCCTGGCACTCGCTCTGGAGACCAAGCTGGCCTCGAACTCTCAGAGATCCGCCTGCCTCTTTAATTTACACTATCCTGGTCACCCAATACCGGCTTTCTCTTTCCATGGCCACATGGTTCTGCGTTACTACAATTCCCAGAGTCCCTAGCTCTAAAGCCATAGCCTTCAAGTTTGCCGCATAGATTTCTGGGAGTTGAGGTCTGGGCCTATTTGCCCAAGTTAGGGGCCTGCGGAAACATGAAGAGGTAAGGGCTTGTTCGAGTTATGGGCGGCAACTTTCACCTTTTACTTTGTTAAAATGGCTTTTTCCTTTTGTTTGGGATGTGACATTTTGTCGAGGGGCGGGCTCTCTCAAGCTCGAAGACAAAGGAGAAGGGAGGAGGGAAGGCCGGCCGGACAAGTGTGCTGGGTGAAGATCTGGAAGGGCCATGGCCAGGCAGGTTTCCATTGGAATGCTTCCCTGGGGCAGAGGCCTCTGGAGCTGTTGGCTATCACATTCCTAACTCTGGAGACTTGCAAGCCAGCTCCTCCCTGGCCGGCGCTCCCTAGATCTCACCCTCCGGAGGGTCTCAGGGCGGGCGCTTATATGGTTTGGAATTAAAAGACTTAGTGGGGTCGTCACACAGGGTCATGTTTTCAGATCTTAAAGTTAGAGAGTGATAGTTTATTTCTCCACATTCAGCACAAAACCGGCTCGATGTG